AGGGTTATTGCAAGGATTAAATAAATATTTTATGCAAGGTTCCTAATACTGTTATTGGTACATAATAGGCCCTCAATAAATGAAAGCAGTTACCTCTAGCTTCTTTGACAACAACGCTGGGTCTTGAGACACCTTATAGCCAAACTGTGATCATTAACAAGTGAAGGTTGCCAGATAAAATATAGCATGTAGAGTTAAATTTGAATTTCAGATAAACAACAAATAATGCTTCAGTACAACTATGTCCTATGCAATTTTGGGCACATACTTATACTAAAAAATTTTATTATGTATCTGAAATTACAAATTAAACTGGTGTTCTGTATTTTTATTTGCAACTCTAAGGGGAGGAATAATAAGATGTGGTCAAAGGGGACCTGCTAGACAACCTAAAAATAGTACCAATTTTGTTCACCTCAAGTTGGCCACAAGTTATGGAGCCAGTACGCGCCTGCCATTAATGGAGAAATATATGCCTGAACAGCACTGTATTTCTCTCATCTTCCCAATTTTAAATTGTTGGTGTGTTGCTACCATGTAGTGGATAAATGCCTCCTGGATTTTGTAACTTAGACAAATAAAAGCCTAAATGGCTGGGAAGATGAAACTTACATAACTCAGAAATTAGTGCATGAAATGAGACTATGTAATTGTGTTAAACTGATTGTTTACACTCAAAGTGCTGAAAGAGTTCAGAGTAAGGGCAGATAAGCAATGAAAACTAGACTAATGAAGGAGGCTATAGAACTACAGATTGAAAGATGAGTAGGATTTGGCCAGGCAATGGGAATCTGAACTTACTGGCCTCTGAACTCCTCTTCTCTGACTTTGTTCCCATAGAAACATTTATGACTGGTAAACTTGGCCTGTCAGAGGCTTGGGTCAATAATTGATAGACAATGTCATTCATTGTCCCTTCATCTGTAACCTCCTGATATCCAGGAGTATAGACAGTCTGTGTGCCAATCTATTGTAAATCCCTGTGATTTACTTCATTTCCATCTTCTTTCCCATAAATCCAGGGCTGTCTTGATTTTGTATCCAGGGTTGCTCAATGACTAAGGGTTCACAACAGGGAGCAAGTTTTAGGGGCCATATCACCATGTTTCTACTTATTATTTAGGACAAATAACAGAATGGTACCCTGCCTGTCTGATGTTAGAGCGAACAAAGTTGAAATCAGTGGTGCCTCAAGCACTAACTGAAATGTTCTCCATGGTTGTTGGACCTCATCCAGCCAGGAATTTAATCTCTTGCTGGGTATTAGAAGTCAATATGGGAAGGCCAGGTTAGTTTAGCGAGCAGTGTATGGCTTACAGGGAGATTCTATTTTAAGTATCAAGTAATGAACATTTACTGAGCCTCTATTTTACCGAAACCCAAAGAGTGTGTGTGCATTGGGGTGGAGGTAGGGGAGTTGTTGACCTTTTAGAATTCATGAAGTAGACAGATGTGAGGCAGTTCATGCCCTTGTGATAGAAGAGAAATTAAGTAACAACAACAATTGCAAGATAAGGTATCACAATTAAGGCAAGATTGCTGAAAGTCTGCATCTTAGGGGAGCGATAGGAATGTAATAGGCTTCTTTGTGTTGACTTTTGACCCAGATTTTAAAATAAATTATTGGAAAAGGAAGTGCCAGGATACTCCAACTGGGGAGGGGTAGGCACCAAGGGATAACATATGGAATGCAAATTAGGGAATAATGATTTAAAAAAAAACCTAAAAACCCCAGACATTCCATGGCATTTCTGCTAAAAAGCCTTCAAAAGCTTCCCAACATTTACAGAAAAGCATGGTGTTCCATGCCTTCCACACTTCACTAAACTTATTTTGTGTTATTGAAGTAAATACCTTCTATAATCTTTGTTCCCCAACACACACATTCAAATACATTCACATACACATACACCCCTTTCACCCTTATATACCAATACCGAGCTGCTTGAGTCTAGGACTGTAGCTTAGTCTGCCTTTTGTGCAAGTGAAGCTACAAGAACAACATATGGGAACATATACATATTTCTATGTTACTCATATGGAAAGTCATCTGTAAATACCTAAGTGATAGGCTGTTACTGAAATCTAGGCATAAGAGAAGGCAGCTCAAGCTGGGCAGGGAAATTAGCCGTGAAGATGAGAAAGAACAGAATCTGGGAAGAAGAAACTGTGATTTGAAGGTTGACCAGAGAGAGAGGAGAAAGAAGGATTAAAACAAACATACTCCATGCAGGAATTTAACTTGAGGAACTAGAAAGAGTTTGTTTGGTACCTTGGATAATTGGGAGGCTGGGATGTATGGGTGTTGAGACAGAAGCTGATGAGATGAACCAAACCATGGCAGTCAAGTGGACTAGAAATGACTAGGGAGGGGCTGGGAAAGCAATGGTTTAAAATGGCAGTTTTCATATTTGCTGTCTTTTTACCAATATGACCCTCCTCTTTTTTGTTTTTAAACATTTATGGATTAAATAGAAAGTATTTTTTTACATGAAAATGTTTTAGAAGTAAAACATGCATATATTTTAAAATGTAACCAATACAATGTGAGTAAAAGTAAGTCTTGCATACCTGACTCCATCCCCTTACTTCTCCACGATATTGTTATCATTTTTTTGTATTCTATTTCAGAGACTTATTTTTATTCTTATTTATCTGACTATATATGCATGGCCTTTTTTTTTTTTTTTTTTTTTTTTTTTTTTTTTTTTTTTTTGCCAGAATGGCAGCATACAGAATTCATTTGGTTTTGTACTTTTTTAACACTCTATTTTAGAAATCCTTTCTCATCAGTAGGTTCATTTTAACTGCTGCATAGTATTCCATGGTATGGATGCACATTATGGATGACAGATGTTTTGTTATTATAAATCAGGTCCCAATAAGATCTTTGTACATGGGTTTGTGCACACATGCAAGTATTAGAGTAAGAACGTTCGTAGATGTGGAATTGCTTAGTCAAAATGTGTAACCATTTAACATTTTTGATAGGATTTGCAAAATTTCCCTTTAAATATACTGTCCCAATCTACACAGTCACAAAAAAGTCTGAAAGTGCCTGGTTCCCCACATTTTTGCTAAGTGTATTAACATAATTTTTGAACTTTGTGAATCAGATATCTCAGTGAAGTTTGATTTGCATAATGGAAGGCCCTTAAAATTTATTTTTACGCAAATATTGTCTAAACAAGTTTTATCCTTATTTCATGTTAATGAAACTTCTAGTCTCTTTTAGTCTGTTAGCCAGTAAGTTTTGGACCAAGCACTATCCAGGTGTGCTGATGTGAAATTACAGCCAGAAGGGAATTATTTAACCCAAAGGCCTGTATTAAAAGCAGAAACGGATTTATACTTTTAAATGGTTGAGGCTTTTGGAATCTGTGTAGGCACATGGTGGAGGACATGATTTACGTGTCTAAATTACGCAGGCATTTGTTATTTTCCTCATGTGCCTGCTGATTAAGACTCTTCAGAACTTGTGGGGAGGAAGCAGTCTCAGGGCTAGCACGTGCGGCCACACAACGGGTGTTAATTCCAATCACAACCGCTCAGTCAGTACCCGGCAAGGCGTTCATCCTTTCTGCACCTCATCTGTAAACTGAGGGTATCCCATTAAAGACTATTGCTATAGTCCCTTGCTGTTTTTAATGCTACACTGCTGCTGCTATTTAGCTGCCGGTTTGGAGAAGAGGCTACCGCTGCTGACAGTGCTGTGGGAAGACCGCGAAACTTGTGACAAGGAGAGACTTCTATCAAACAGGAAATAAAAGTGGGAAGCATTTCAAAACCTACACGGGATGCCTCGCCTACAGCTCCGTGGTCCCTTTGCCCAGCAGTTCGGAGCACCTGTTCTTTTAGTCTAATACCTAAAGGTGACATTATTTAGCCTGCCGGGAAGACAGTGGCCTAATCTGATAATATGGTTTCCAGCAGTCCCCGATTAATTTGTCGTCTGTGTGCCCTGAAAACGACAGAAGAAACGCGGTAGAGCCGTGGCAGGTGAAATTTACGTCATTAGTCTCTGAGATGGGAAGCGCGTGGGTGCCAGAGTCGCTCGGGACTCTCTGTCCTCTGGCCTCAGGGAAACCGCAGAGCGGCTGCAGGGGCACAGCAGGGGGGGGGGGGGCGCTGCTTTGCTGCCGTCTCTTGAATTCAATCCCTGGCCAGCACCTGGGAGGGGAACCTCTACCCTGTGGGCTGTCCCCGCGTCACTTGGAAAGAACGTGTAGTGCGTGACGGCACCGCGCCCTGGTGTGTAGAATCAGAAAGCAGAATACGAGTGACCTGTGGCCAGTCAGGGAATGTGAAGTAGACCCAACGAATCGAGCCGGGAGAGGAGGGGGAAGGGCCGGGCGGGGACAGGGACCCACGAGGGGAACCCCCCAGGCCCGGCCTGGCTGGGGCTGCGGTAGGGGTGGGTGGGGTCTCGCTCGGGTCGCCCAGCTGCGACCGCACAGGACAGCCGGCTGGGTCTCGCCCTCGCCGCCACCGCCCCGTTTAGAGCCCGGAAGTGGGGCTTGTCTAACACCTCGCGCCGCACTTTGCGAATCCCAGGGAAAGCAAAACGGAGGGCAGAGGGTCGGCGCTGGGCCGGGGGCGAGGGCCGCAGTCCGCCGCAGCGCAGCCGGACCGCCCCAGCCGGCGCGCCCTCCGCCTCCACCGCCTTCACTTCCGCCCCTCGGAGGCTTGCAGCCCCTTCAGGGGCGGTCGGGAGACGGCCGGGGCCGGAGAGAGTGAGGGGCGGAGGGAGAGGTGGAGGCAGCCGTATCCAAGCCCCTCCTGGTCGGGTCTCTCCCGCCCGGCGTTCAGCAGCTCGCAGCTCCTCCAGCGGCGGCCCCACCTCCTTTGTGCGGCAGACGCTGTTGCCCGGACGACGGTGCCCCCCTCTCCGGCCCCGCCCCGGCCCCGCCCTCCGCGGCGTCCCCGCCCTGGTCTCGGCACAGTCGCCGGCCCAGCCGCAGCCCGCAGGAGCCGCAGCCGCAGCCGGCCGCGCGGTGGGCTTCCCGGGGCCGTAGCAGGGACTTTCCCGCGCCTGTGCTTTCGTCCGCCCCGGCTTGCTCCCCGCTGCGTCGGTCCGCTGGCGGGTCCGGCTGAGCTGCTCGTCCTTCGGCTCCGGACCGAGTCTCCACGGTCACCGCAGGGCCCCGCCCACCAAGCCCTGCCCGGGGCTGCCGGTCTGCCCGTTTGGACCTTGCTGTTGATGACACCTGGCGGAAGGCTGCCATGGAGGGGGATGGTTCAGAGCCGCTGGTGAGCGAGGGGAGAGGGGCCGCCGCCTCCCAGCTCGATGCGGCGCTCCGGGGCCCCGGCTCTCTGTGCCCTCCGCCCTGATCCTGGAGGGCGCCTCTCCTCCCGGAGGAGCGAGGGCGGGCGGTGGTGGCCCGCTTCCTCTTCGCCGTCCCGGCCCGGGTTCCGCAACCTGGGGCGCCCCCTTTTCTCCCCCGGAGAGCCGCACTCGGATTCCCCTGGGCCCGGAGGAGAGCGCTGGTTGGTGATTGCCCACCTGAGCACCTCGGGGAATCCCGGCGGGGCTCTTTAATGGGGTTCAGGCTGTGATTTAATTCGCTTTAGTGAGTCGGGGTTCGCGTGCCGGCGCGTGTGTCCTGGGCGTGTCCGGCCCCCTTTGTCTGGGAGCGCCGTGGGGCCGGCGCTCGGGTCCCGCTCGGACCCCCGTGGGTCCCTGCCTGCAGCTGCCGCCGCGAGCAAAGGCTCCTCCCGGCTTTGCCTGCTCGAGTGGGGCGGGCCGGGGCTTGGCAGCTATCGGGGGTACGAATGTTTTCATTTGAAGGGGTCGGATATGCAGTTCTTCCGAAAGTTTCCTGAGGAAGCCCTTTGAAACTGCTGGGGGGAGCCACCACCTCACATTTCTCTTAATCATATTGATCCCCCGTCAATGAATATAAAATGAACACTAATTTTTCTTTCGGTTAAGAATTACTTTATATCCATTGAGACTAAAAAGCCACATTCAAGACACTACTTTATGTACAGGAAAGGATTGTAGATCTTCCTCCAGTGACAGGTAAACCTTGATTGACCGTATAGTTTTATACATAAAGTGGGTGTGAGAACCTATTTTGGACATTTAGGACAATATTTTCCTTTGATTTGGTGTCTGTCGAACCCTTTGTGAGATGTGATAGGATGTGAATATTCTAGATTCTTTGATGTGATTGTGAGGTGTGGTTATCTTATTTCCAAATTTATTAAAATTGTGACATGACGTTGGTCTTTATTAAATATTTGGGTGATGCAGCAAAAGACACTACACTGAAAGACCCACTGGCAATGATAAAGACAGTTGGCTGCAATGCTATTGAATTGTCAAGAATCATTAAGGCACTTGTGTCATACTGGGGGGAGTAGGTTAGCATACATTTCCCCCTTTACCAAGAGATATAAAGATTTTTATCAAAGAAAGCAATTCTCCAATCATGGACATAATGAGAGATGCATTCCTAATGATGGTACAAACTTTCAAGAACACAGCTCTTACGGCAGAAATTCTATAGAAGATAATTCTTGGGTATTCCCAAGCCCTCCTAAATCAAGTGAGACAGCATGTGGGGAAACTAAAACCTTGACTTTATCCAACCTGCCACCGCTGCATTACTTGGATCAACATAATCAAAAGGGCCATTATAAAAATTAATTCTGAAGAAATTCATGATTTCATCATGAGCACACTGTATGTTTGTCATTGGCCCTCCCAGGAAATTATTTAAAAGGGTGAAAGTGGATTTTGATTAAAATTTTGCAGAATTCTTCAGTATATTCATTTGAACATAGGTATGATATTATGTAGTTGATTTTCCAGTGTGAAAGAAGAGGACCCTTCAGTTCCATATCCTAAGATACAGGTATATGCTACTATACTAATTAATAAATAAGCTGTTTCAAAAAGACAATCCTGTCTTTGATAACAATTGTAAAATTTCACTTCTCAGATAAAGAATGTAGTTGGAGATTTTTAGACATTGTTTTATGAAGTGTGTGAAATGCCTAAATACACATTCATAAAAATAAAAGGAAGCCATTAGTATAGGGAAAAAAAGTGAATTATTAGAGCCAGTGTTATAACACCAAGGTTAAGGGTTCGGATTCCCATACCGGCCAGCTGCCAAAACAAAAACGAAACAAAACAAAAATAAGTGAATTAATTCAATTTTCATTTTCTGTGTATTTCCAATAGTTGAAATGATTGTACAAGGTATGAGTAGTTTTAACATTGAACTGTTGTTAAATTGCAGGGATGTAGAGTATAGATTCATAGCATTTGAAGTTTAGGATACATGGGGAAAATAAACTACATGGGGGAAGGATGGAAAAACTGGCGTGAGGTCATCAAACCTTTTTAGTTGTGATAAGAGTCTAAAATGTACCTTATTTAAAATGGTGAACGCCTGTAGAATTGAGAGCACTTACAATGGTGCCTTTTAGTTCTCTACACCCTTTTAATATTCTTAAAGTGCTTTTAAGATAACTGTTTTGATATACAGCATGAGAATCTCAAGCATTTTAGCTGCATTACTGGTGCAGCATATGAAAAATGGTCACATTTAATGTAGAAAATTGTTGATAATTCAGCTTGTAAATAGAGTTCATCTAGGGCCCTTTGAACATACTAGCTAACCTAGTTTTTACCAGCTCTTGTTATTCACCAGTCACAGAGTTAATGCACTAAGTAGGAATACATTCTTATTCTTATTGCTGCATTCAAACTTTTTATTGAAATAATCTGCTTTTAGGATTTCACCGAAGTCCTAAATTGAATCATTCATGATTACTTTGAATGACTTTATAATTATTCATAGAATATTGTGGCCCCATAATATTTTATGCTAATTTTTTCTCTTGTACTTCACTTTCTTTCCTTTTTTTTTAAAAAAAAAAAGATGACCAGTAAGGGGATCCTAACCCTTCACTTGGTGTTGTCAGCACCACACTCTCCGAAGTGAGCAACTGGCCATCCCTATACAGAGATCTGAACCCGTGGCCTTGCTGTTATCAGCACCACACTCTCCCAAGTGAGCCATGGGCCGGCCACATTTTCTTTCCTTTTTCTGTCTAGTGTCCCTTCAGTTCTAGGTTATGGGTGTTGAGGCGGATTGGTGGTATAGAATTTCGTAGCTGAAAAGGAACTTCAGATTTAAAAAATGTCTGTTTCTTAATTCTTTTGGAAAGGTAAATACATGTACTTATACAAGAGGTATAAGCTTGTTAATATATTTACCCACAAAGAGCCTTTGAGTCTGATTTTTTTATTCTTCAATTTAAGGTTACCATCAAGAATATCGAAAGAGAGCTCATTTGCCCTGCATGCAAGGAGCTGTTTACCCACCCACTGATTCTCCCTTGTCAACATAGTATCTGTCATAAATGTGTGAAAGAACTCTTACTGACTCTTGATGATTCATTCAATGACATGGGATCAGACAACTCCAATCAGAGCAGTCCTCGACTTTGGCTCCCTTCTTCTAGCCTGGATAAGATTAACAGACCAGGTATGTGGTAGAACTGTGGGGTTGTCTAGGGAGGAGCTTACGGTTGTGTTCAGTGATAATTGTGGAAAGAAAATCATTTTTGTCACTTGAGGGTTATTTTTTTCAGGCAAATAAAACTATAGTTATAAAGGGCCCCTGCCGTTAAAATGTCAAAATGAACTTCTATTATCTTTTGATATACACTGAAAGTGGATATTAGATATTGAACACCAACTTTGTGGTAAGCCCCTTATTAACTTTGTATTTTAGGGGATGTTCTGACCCTGTGATGTCCTTGAGATGATAAAATAATGGACTATCAAAATACTTATTTGGGAAACACCCATATATGATAATATGTAAATAAATACTGAAGAATTAAGCGATGAAACTACATAATGGCTAGTACTAGAAAACTTTTTAGAGGGATTATTTGGTAGCATTTTATTCCACCTGAGGGTTTTATTTTCTTCAGTTGTTTTTCATCCACTTTTCAAAATAAGGATTTTGAACGTTATAAATAGTAATTGAATTCTGTAGTAATGCATATAAGTAGATCTAATTTGATGTATAGTACATACCATATGCATTTATTACATGACTAATGTTTAAATTGTGTGCTGTTGGATAGTGTTGCTTTTTATTCTGGACAGCTATTGCAGGATTAACGTAGGTCAAAATTAACTTGAAATCACTGGGGATGCTGAAATTCAGGGCCAAATCTGAGTACAGAAATCAGTGGAAAGTACAAAGGTGGGTAGAAATACCCCAGCCTCATGTTAAGCATGTTCTTTGTGTGGAGTACGTGGGTGGCCATAGTACCAGACTTTAGAGCTTCATCTCTGTCCAATTTGGACTTTGAGGTTTTAAGTTTAATCCTTTTGTCCACTCTACCAGTTTCTCTCCCTTATAGTATAGAGCAACTTTTTAATCTTCTAAAAAAAACTTTAAAGAAAAGAATCTCTTTCCCTAAGTTGTATTTTAGAGAATATCTTCTTTTTTTTGGTCCACCCTGCGATTTGGAATCTCCTTGGGTGGTATTTCCTTCTATGTGCTCCGTCAAGAAGTGGATAAGAGTAGGTTTGTTTTAAGGGTGATATTTGCTATTTTGAAAGTTTTTTTTTTTAAAAAAAACAATTAGCAATTACTAATTACTTGGAAGATGTTTTACGCATATAAAAATTATATGTACATACAAGGAAAGGAGCATTAGGCAAGCTGTGAGAGGGTGGAGAGTGTGAAGACAGAAGATTATACACTTCTTGAAGTCATCAGTTTTAAGTTCCCCTCCTTGCTCTGCATCTGGCACACTGAGGAGGTGAAGAAAGACAGAAATTGCTTGAAATCATCCTACCAGATAAAACTTGATATTCTATTGGTAAATCTCAATTGGCTGATCTTTTAGGGACTCTTGCTTGGTTGACCAAGGAAAATTTACTTTTTGTGTATTAATATTCAGCACAATTAAGTGGAATTTTAGTTAAGTACTAGTATTTCTAGTTATAATTAGATTGTGCTTGCATATGTTTGAGGGTACTTTGGAAAGTTAATGGAAAGATTCATATTCTTTTAATTCTATTTTTCTGTGAACTTTTTGAAGTACCCTCATATTTTATAAAATTCCATTATGTGGGCTTCTAATCTTAAGATTTCATTAGTTTTTATATGTGATTCATATTAAGTACTATATGAAATATAGTTATCTGTTTCTGTTTTTAGGAACTTACCTAGCACAGTGCTCTGTAGATGCGTAATAAATATTTGTTGAATGATAAATCTCTGCTACAAGATTCGTGCAAAGAATATAATGGCTTATATTCAATTAATTTTGGCATTTTTTTTCAGAACAAAAGCTCCATTCCACTGTCTAGATCACAAACAATTACTGAGATGTTCTTCCCTCTTCTTGCTATGCTATGAAGTTGGATTATGTGCTGAGGGGGAGAAGTTAGAATGATGAAGAGTTTGAAAACTTTTCTAGGAAGAACAATTACAAGAGATAAGAATGTTTAATTTGGAGAAGGGATGACTGCAGATTATGATGCTGACTTGTGGATGAGGAAGTAGTACACTGGGTATCTTTAGCAAAGGTTCCGAAGCAGTGAGTAGAGGGAATAACAAAGCATGGAGGAAAACACACACACACCCTTAAGGCTGTCCAAAAATGAAATGGGCTCTCTAATTATGTCATTAGAAGTATTTAGGGCCGGCCCGGTGGCGCACTGCTACAGTGCGCCACTAGGGAGCGCGGCGGCGCTCCCGCCGAGGGTTCGGATCCCACATACAGACCGGTTCCCGCTCACTGGCTGAGCGAGGAGCGGGCGCAACACCGAGGGTTGCGATCCCGTTGCTGGTCCCGGCCCGGTACGGGCGCGACACTGAGGGTTGCGATCCGTTGCCGGGCACGAAAAAAGACAAAAAGGAAAAAAAAAAAAAAGAAGTATTTAAATCAGGTGTCAAATCTAGATGCTACAGGGGCCAAATAGGTGCATTAATTAAGCAGGCCTCAGGCATCATAAATACAAGACCCTCTTCCATTCTACTTTTGTGACATAGATAAACAAACAATAAATATTTTAATTTCCCATGAGCTCATCTACTGTAAGAAAATCAGCAGCCCAAGTTTTAGCAGCCTTTACACTTCCCTGTTGGAGACAGTGGGGCGTGGTTTGGGACTGTGGAGACTAGAATGGATACCTTGTTAAAGGAGGCAGTAGCTACTTGGCACGAATGAATTATGTGGGGTGGGGCATACCAAGATTGTCAGATTTACTGTTTTTTCACAAAAAACCTGATAGGGTTTTTATGTGAAATATATATTTTTTAAGTATTGACAGTTAATTCAAATTATTCTAAAACACCATGGCGGCTCACCATAGGGCAGGACAGCCAAAACACATCTTTGGGTCTGACCCATTCAACTTTGGGGCCATCAGTGTTTTCAGTCTTTGTCTTAAACAGTGGTTGGGCAACCACTGTCTGCAAATGTTGCAGACAGTATTGCTGATTTGGATGGTAGGTTGGGTCAGTCATTCTGTCACCTGCCAGATTTTCTCCAGTACTGAAGTTCTATGCATTATTGAATACCGGTTGTATTCATTCATTCAACAAGTATTTGAGTGCCCACTGGTTACCAGACACGGCTAATGCTGAAGAGTGATGAACAAGATAGACTTGTCTTTTTTTTTAAGAAGCATCTAGCCTACATTGTACAAAGCTTCATAAGAGATGCAATAATTAGAGCACAGTCCTTCATCAACAAAACATACAGAGCAAGTTAATAGATAAAGATAGAGTACCCAGAAGGTGAGAATGCCCTAAGTATGGTAATCCTTCCTGGAGGTTTTTATCAAATGATTGTAAATTTTAGGACTGCCCTCCTTTACATGATCACCAGTTTTAAACTAGTAGAAGTCATTGTGTTATAATGTTACTTAACTTTCATTTACTGGGCATTTGCTTGTAATTTTTCTTTGGATAGATTCAAAGATAGGTTCATGGGTAATTTTCCTGTTATTATTATTTTTTTCCTGACAGGCTTTTAAAAAATAAATTCTGTCAGTTAGACATACTTGAAAAGGAAACCAGAAACCCTATTTTCAGCAATTGGTAAGAGAGGAATAAAATTTTAAAAATTAGTTTTGCTGTTGGTTTAATAAAGGGATTAATTAGACCTGGTCTGTCCAGTACAGTAGCCACTAGCCACTAGCCACAAATGGCTATTGAGTGCTTGAAGTGTGGCTAGTCTGAATTGAGATGTGCTGTAAGTGTGAAATACACACTAGATTTTGAAGACTTTGAATTAAAAAAAGACTAAAATATCCTTTAATAATTTTTTATGGAGATTACATTTTGAAATGATAGTATTTTGGATATAATGGTTTATATAAAATGTTATTAATGCTAATTTACTCATGTTTTACTTTTTAAATTTGTATAACAGAAAATTTAAAATGACATTGTACTTCTGTCTCATATATTTCTTTTGGATGGTGTTGCATTAAACATTTGACAGATCTTTTAAAATAAAAGGGTACTTTGAAAGGAGAGTAAGGGTTGTGTGCATAACACAGTAGCATATTAAATTATGTAAAAATGAAAGAGCTATATCTCTGTATATTTTTGATCATATACCCGTATATGCAAGCTTTTCTCCCGTTTTGTATTTTCCTGTTGTCACAAAGATATATTTAGTTTTAGTAATGTTTACTTACAGTTTTTAGATCAGTAAAAGGTCAAACAAAAGATGCTTGTTTTTACTTTGTATTTCCAACAGTTACTAGAAATGTGATTATTTAAAAATACGAACTATAGGATGAAGTATAGATCTCAAGTGCTGCAACAATGAATAATTCTGAATTCTAGTAAGATAGCTTGATAAGTGTTTTATATTGCTGGCTTTGTAAATACCATGTGTACCAGGAAAAACACATTTTAACTGTTAATTCAATAATTGTATTATGTGCAGGACATAGTTACTGCTTTATCTTTTGTTAACAAGTTGTAAATCTTCTCTTTGAAATTAAATTCTAAATCTAGCTTTCTGTTCATTGTTCACAGCATCACAACGAAGATCTTTGGGGTGGAGAGGTAGAAAATGCTTTATTGCTTTTGTGGCCGCAGGCAATATAGTATTAGATTTAAATAACTTTGTGTATGTATAAAGTTCTTAAACATCAGTGGTCAAGTCTTTAAAATTCTGTAGAAAGTGAACAAATTGGGCTGAAATAACTTAAAGGTCAACAGGACTGAATTTTCAAGCAAGTCTTGAAGTTTTTAAGGAGGACACTGATTATTTGTGCTTGCATTTTGTCAATATACATGACATGATATTTTTGAAGAAAATGACATATACTCCTTTTGTTTGTTTGTTTGTTTTAGTATACGGTACCTTAAGAATCCTTTACATTTATTTAGTGGAACAAAGCTTCATGTTGCTACATTGGGGAGGTTAAATAAGCCAGTACTTTCTTATGTATTGAAAAATTTAATTGAAGGTGTTGATAATTTTTGTTGTTAATAACATAATCTTTGCTTGTTTTATGCATATGATGTCTCTTCTTTGTTAATGTTTTAAAATGTTTCACATTAGAGTTTTAACATTCAGGTTTTACCCCCTATGGGTAAATAATGTACAGTCCTTTTTTAGGCTTTCCTAAGTATTTGATTCTGTGTGAAAGATGGGCCAACCTATCTGATCAAAAAAAATTTTTTTTGTTCCAGTTGACCTTTAAAGTAAAATTGGCTAATTTTTTGTGGAATGCTGGTGATACCCTCTATTTTACCGGAGAATAATAAACACCCAAAATGTTATCCCTTTTCTGTCTCCCTTGAAATGGGAGCAGTTTGCTTAAAAAAAGTTAATTGCCTGTTACTTATTTTTGATTCAGAGAGTAGCTGGGAAAAATAGTTTTTATAGGTGGAAGAATGCTAATATAATACTGCAAGGGTAAATGTAACTCAGGGGCATCAGGTGGTTAGAATATGCCAGAAGAAACATTAAGGTGGCAGCATAAGATACCAGCCTGTTGCCAAACACAAATGTCCAGCACAGGGAATGATACTCCACTAAGTGGCAAGGTAGTAACAGTGCGCGAGTGGCTTGTAACCAGAATGTGCGAGAGGATGCAATTGGAAGAGGTTTGAAACATGTTATTTATAAATTGACTCTCTTCCCTTTGTTTTGAAATGCTTTATTTTCTCCTTGATATTTAAATGGTAAAACATATGACTGAAAGGTGACTTTTTGGGGGGATTTGCTATAAACCAATTGGAAAAATTTTTGGAGACTTCATTTTAAAGTTGTCATGATTTATGCTTATTGTTTAATCTGTCTTTGAAGTAAAGATAAGGGAAAATAATTGATTCTGGTGATAATGTTGACATAATTTGCAAATACTATTGGCCCTACAAATTTGGCTTGACATATACAATAGCATTGCTTGGTTTACATTGCTTCCTTACCTTTCCAAGCCATCATTACTTTTCTTTCTAATTGTATCACGCTATATAGAGCAGTACTATCCAATAGAACTTTCAATGAGAATGGAAATGTTCAGTCCTGCTCTGTGTAATACTGTAGTTGCTAGCCACATGTAGTTCTTGAGAATTCAAAATGTGGTTGATGCAATCAAAGAACTGAACTTTTAATTTAACTTAAGTTATATTTAAATAGCGACATTTGGCTAGTGGCTACTGTATTAGAAAGCACAGCTATAGAAAGTAGAAAGTTGACTCTATTGCATTCTGTTCTTAGTTCTGCTGTCTTGATTTTTTAAATTAGGTTTACTTCCCAGAATATTCCGAGATCTGTACTGTTTTCTTTATTGCCCTGGACGTATATTCTATTTGTTTTTAGACACTTCTTGTATTCATAAGAAAAATTTGAGAGCTTTTAAGATCTGTTTAGAAAAATAGCCAAGGTATCTATTTGAATAAGTTATGTAAAAATTTAGTCATGTCTTGATTTAATATTTTATCTGATTTAAGAAGTTCAGCATGATTCTTTACACCTTATTTTTGATTGTAAAAATAATTAACAGAGATGTACAGAAAAGGGATAAAACATCTTTTCTGAAACTTCTGAACATGAAGACCAAAATCTGGGTGTCTCCAGTGTACATGTTAAAACATGATTTTGTTATGATTACTTTTTTTTTATCCTGTTACTTAATTGGTCGTAACCTTCAATTCATAAAACCAATAAATAACCCATTTTTTAAACTTTGACATTAGTTATCCATTCATTAAAATTTCCATCACCTAGTTCATGTGTGGAAGCATGCAATTAAATGTGAATTTTTGTTTGTTTAAACTTGACCACTGCACTATATCACTTCTGGAATTATTGGCTTGTTTTTTCACTAAATGAAATTTTCATTGGCATGTGTTTTAAAAGTAGCTTTGCTGCTTATTTCTTTATATGCCTGCTGTGGTGTGAAACATCTTGGACTGTATTGCATGATTTTTGAATTATTACAAGAATATGATTTAGGTAGGATTTTCACATTTTTATGGGACAGAATTTTTTTTTTTGATGCATCAGTGTTTAAAAATGTGAAAGTTAAAAATATCTTTAAGATATTAAAAAGGCTCTGCATGTTTGTTGCATAAGTAGCTTTTGGGGCCCAGTGCCTTTTAGCATGCTGTAAAGTCACTTCAAATGAGTAATATCGTGCTCTGATTGCTCAATTTTACCTGTAGTGCTATCATGCCAGACATCTTTTCAAATACTCTTTTGAGTGGTGATAGTCATGTGCGAAAGTAATATTAATGTAGCTATATGAAGACCTTTTCTAAATGTGGTATACTACGTTTAACTACCATTCATTTTTTGTAGGATAAATAGTAGTATGAAATAAGGCTGTAGGTTAACAAGTTTGTATTTATATTAAGGGAGTTATTTTGTGGGCAATCCAGACTACATAATCTAAGAACAGATTTATAAAGGAGAGGAGGGAATATGTATACATGCTTCTATGTTAAATGGACAAGATTGGATTCCTGCGAACTGGTTATTATAGACGTCATGCCTTGGTTTCTTGATTTGTTAAAATCGGGATGACAATACTGAACCAAACTGTGATATTTAAGGTCATTCATTGTATTATACATATTGTAAAATTATTTGTAATACTTTTTGAGAAACTTTGGCTTACTGAATTAAGTAATCATAATGATTCTTTGTTCCAGGTTGTAAGAAGATACTTAATGGTTGGTCCCTCTTATTCTAGGTCTATGAATTGAGTTTTTCACTTTTCTAGTGTATAGATTGCCCTCAATTAACTAATGATCTTGACTACTGAATTCTTTCAGATAAAACAATACTACAGTGAGAAACTGTCTATCATAGTGGTTCTAAAAAATTTTGTGGTCATATGTTCCTGTGAGAATCTGATAAAAGCAATAGGTTGTTTAACCAGAAAATATGCATGTGTAAGTAGATGGAAAATTTTGCACACATGGACCTGCCTGGGGCCTATCCATGTGTCTTCCCTGAGTTAAAGACACCTGCTCTTTTAGGTTAAGTCATATCCTGTCAGTTGGTGAAGACTGTGTTCACCTTTGGATATGGCATATAAAAATAACTGTAAATGTTGATAATATAATTTCAAAGAATTCTGACCCTGTGTAGTATTGTATTATGTTTTTTATCCTTATGTCTATGTTTGACTTAATATGGTTTTCATGTTAGATTTACTCTAGAATATTTTCCTTTTCTCTTTGATTTGGTAACTATTTAATAACTCAGGCTTGTCTTTTATATACAAAGAGAAAACAATCTTTAATAAAGCGTTTTCAGAATACAAATTGATTCAAAGAGAGCCACTTTGGGTTTTATGTTTTTGGAATATATTTGTAGATATACAAGGGTATTTGAAAAAAATTCATGGAAAGATTTGTATCATCTTTTAATTCTATTTTTCCACAAACTTTTTGAACCGTTGTATCTTTCCAAAACATTACTCCTCTTTTCTTCACTCTAATAATTACTAATTACACAGGCTGGAAGCGCACTTCATTGACCCCTAGAACAACTGTTTTTCCTTGCCCTGGCTGTGAGCATGATGTGGATCTTGGAGAACGAGGAATCAACGGTCTGTTTCGAAATTTCACTTTGGAAACTATTGTCGAAAGATACCGGCAAGCAGCTAGGGCAGCCACAGCCATTATGTGTGACCTTTGTAAACCACCACCTCAGGAATCCACAAAAAGTTGCATGGACTGTAGTGCAAGCTACTGCAATGAATGCTTCAAAATTTATCATCCTTGGGGTACTGTAAAAGCTCAGCATGAATATGTGGGCCCAACCACTAATTTTAGACCCAAGGTAAGTGAAGTTTTCATTGTTAGAATATTATAGTGCTATGAAAGAAATAATTATAAGTCTTGAACTTGACAGAAAGGAAATAACTTTAAAAGCAGGTTTAAGAACTTAAGGCCTAGTTGGAGTTATTTAGTATGGCTAAACATTTCCAACAGCTTAAAAGGCAATATTGTGGTTTATTCTGTTTCGATCCAGTGTGATACAATAAGTGAAAGCTCATAATGATCACTCTGAGTAATAGAGGAAAGGTTAAGTTATCTCAGATGTACTCTAAGATTGAAATGGTTAAAGTCAAAAGGCTTTTATGCTTTAGTGTGATAAACCCATAATTGTTTATGGTTGGGAAACATATTTTTCTAATATTTTTAGTTAGGTAAAATTGTATTATGAATAAATAATAGTAATTACAGCCTAATATTTTGAAGCTTGTGATATAATGGTTATATAATATCTCAAGTAGAATTTGCTTTCCTTAAATATTCTGGGTAATTTCTTTAATAATGCTCAAAAGAACTTTATATATTGTTTGCCCTGCCACATCAATGATTTTGAGACATCCTAATTTTTTTTCTGATTTATGTAGGTAAAAAAAAACTATAATTGATTCTTTTAAAGCTCTTTTTTCTTAAAATTTAGTAACTTGTGTGAGTATGAAAAATCTATTTGCATTTTTAAGCATAAAACCTTCAATTTGTAATAGAAAAATGGGAGGAAAAATCCCAAAAGTTGTTTTGAAACTAAAAGCTGAGTATTTTTTACATTATATTAAATAGTGTAGGACTGATAGATTAAAACAAAAACAGTCTGTACTTCCATGTTTTGAATGATGTACCTCATCTCATTTTAAATGAGGCAGGTAATAGATCTTTAAAAATTTATGGCTTCATCCTGGTATTTTAATGTTTCTTTTAAAAGACTAATCAAATTGATCAATATATCTTTCTATCATGAAATAACCTATGATTATTAAAAGAATTATAATAGGTTTGGGTTTTTGTGAATTAAAAATTTCATGAAATTTTGAATATGAATTTGCAGTTTTATACTTTATATTTACAAATATAATAAAAGGTTGATAAGAGAACCAAAAAAATATGAAGTTGTATTGAGAAAAATTTTTTTTCTCCTTCAGTATTTAGTGTCATTCCATATAATAAAATTCTAAAAGGGTGTTCCTTATCTTATAGAATATTTCCCTGTAAACTGGAGTTCTTTTGACTGTTCCTTGCAGAAAGCCAAACTTATATTTTAAATGTAATTGTTTTGAGAATGTAGGAACTTGGACATGCTGAAAAACTTGAAATCTTGATTTAGGTAGGATTTTCCAGTTTTTCTCCTGAACCTACATATTTGGTTTTAGGACTTTTTTTGTTTTAAAAAAACTTTTACAACTTTTTGTTTTGTTTTTCTTTTTTTGTTTGTTTTTGTCTGTAAGTTATCAGACCAGTTAATTGTTTAAAATCTAATCTGTTGGAATCATGAATAACTTTCAGATTTCATTAACATGCTAGCTTAAAGGGATCACTCCTTTCTTTCAAATGAAGACTGTTATTTCACGTAAAATTTCATTCATACCTATACAATAGTTTATATAGTAAATAAAAAGACAATCAAATCAGAAAAACACAGTTTTAAATTTGGTCAGTGTGCAATTAATTTGTAAAAGCAAACACGTCTGGGAGCTTATATGATAGTGTTCCAAGACTCTCTTAGTAACAGATTTCTTGTAAGGATAGTGAGGCCATAGGTTCTCATAAATTGTTATCGTACCTCATAAAAATATTGATCATGATCATGAATCGTCAGTGTTGTCAGAGGGCCTTTCTAGCTGTGTTAAACATTTCACTTGAATCTGATTGGAATGAAACTTTTATTTTCTTATCACCCAGTGGGAGAAATAACATCTACATATTAACCATTTGAACCCTCAAATTGAAAAATAGTAATTCTAATTTAGAGAATTTTCGTGATCTGTATCAAGCTTTTTTATTTCTTTTTACAATTTTATTCATTTAAATGGCTTTTATAAAGCAAATCTTTGTATTTTGGAACTTTATAAGATTACTTGAAACCTAGATCCCTAATCACACTTTCATTCCTTACTTAATAGATTTTAATGTGCCCAGAACATGAAACGGAGAGAATAAACATGTACTGTGAATTATGTAGGAGGCCAGTTTGTCATCTCTGTAAGTTAGGTGGTAATCATTCCAATCACCGTGTGACCAGTATGAGCAGTGCCTATAAAACCTTAAAGGTAGGACTTGTTTATTTTTGGAACTGAGTTTTGATTCTTTATAACTTTACTCTATGCCTTTAAGTTTCTATTTATAAAATCACAGTTTCTTATGTGGTCTGTTTTACTGAAATGAGTTAACGGAGTAATGTGTTACTTAATGATCTACTAATATTAGGTTGTTGGTATTTCTAACTAGTAGTTCTTTGTGGTACTGATATGAAAATGCCCCGTATATGTTAAAGCCTACACCATGCTAGTTCTGAACTCTGAGGAAAGAGAGAATGATGAAGGACACTTCATCATGATCCCCAAAAGAGCCCAATACCTGTGATATTAAATGTGTGCATAGGAGTGACACTTTGAAGGACCGTAGCTATTTTAAGACTCTTGATTGTTGTTTCTAGCCTATAGAATTAGTATAAACTTTTTTGTTTATTCTGGTGGAACCCTTACAAGCTAAGCTGAATTATTCCAGTCTGTTAACATATATGACCCTTTTAAAACTTTTAAATTTGATTGATAATCAGCAGCAAAGTAGGCAGTGGTATATAATGCTGTTTCTTTTTTTTTTCCTTTAAACAATGTTTTATATATTTTAAAAAGGAACAAACCCATCCATAAACCTACCACCCATTTCGATTGTTTCCTTTCTATCTTTAACAATATATAGATATGAAATTTTTTGGCCCATGTCCAGCTGCATATATATATACACACACACACAGTTTTTTTTGTGTGTATTTTGTATTTTTGACAGCTGGCTGGTACAGGGATAAAACCTTGGACCTTGGTGTTATCAGCACCATGCTCTCAACAGCTGACTTAACTGGTCAGCGCTACATATAGTTTTATATTTTGCATTTTATACTTATGTCATGCTCAGTCTTCCCTCTATCTTCTTTGAACATGTGGAATACAGGTATAATTGTTTTATTGTCGTGTCTACTTATTCTCTCATCTGTGTTACTGCCAAGTCAGTTTTCTCTGGTTTTTCTTCTCATTATAGTTCATGTTTCCCTGCTACTTCACATGCCTGGTAACTTTTGATTGGCTGCCAGGTATTGTTAATTTTACCTTTTTAGCAGCTAGATATTTTTGTATTCCTACAAGCATTCTTGAATTTTCTTTGGGTATGTAATTAAGTTACATACTTGGAAACAGTTTGGTCTTGCTATTAAGCTTCGGTAGGCAGTACAGAGCAGCACTTAGCTCTAGGCTAAATTTACCTGACAATTGAGGTAAAGTCCTTTGATTACTCTTCCTGATGCCCTATGAATATATTGAGTTGTTTTTTCTTTTCCTCCCCAGCCTGGCTAGTGGGAAGCAGGCACTATTCCCAGCCTTGTGTGAGCCTTAGAATTGTTCCTGCTGATCCTTTTGGGTGATTCTTTCCCTAGCATCTGGCAATTTCCGCACACACAAGCTGAGCAGTGCTCTGCTGAATATGCAAGGGGGAGACCCTTTGTACATCTCTGGAGTTGTTTCTCTTTATAGCCGGCTCTTCTTAGGTTTTATGTCTTGCACACTCTGGCCTCCAGGGACTCCTGACTTCATCTCCTGAACTCATGGGAGACCCTGGGCTTCGTTTACATTCCCCTCTGCACCAGGCCGTAGCAGTCTTCTCCAGACAGTAAGCTGGGGTAATCACAGAGTCGTCTTGGTTCCCATCTTTCAGGGAAATATCTTACCTTTTTGTTTCTTGGTGTCCGGTGTCTTGAGAACCATTTCATATATTTTGTTAGATTTTTCAGTTGTTTCAGGTGGGAGAGTAAATGCAGTCATTGTCACTCTACCGTACTCCACAGTGTGCCCCACATACCATTATTTGTAATGACATTGAACACTTTTTTTGTTTTATTTCTCATGGTTTTGGAGGCTAGGAAGTCCAAAGGCCCAGGGGCCCCATCTGGTGAAGGCCTTCTGGGTGGTGACTCTACAGCAGCACCAGGTGTCACATAGTGAGAATGGCAGGAGCAAGCAAGCTAACCTTCTCACTCTCTTTACAGTCATCAGAACCACACCCATCACTCCATGAACGGATCAACCCATTCATGAGGGCACAGTCCTCACAATCTAATCATCTCTTAAAGGCCTCATCTTTTGATCATAATTCGATTTTCCACCCTCTCAGCACTGTTACAGTGTGGGTCAAGCTTCAGTGAGTTTTGAAGAGGACATTGAATCCACAGCAGTGCCTTTGAGCAAGGACCTGGTTAAAAGAGGGAAACAGAAGTTCTCAAACTATGCTGGATATTAGAGTCACCTTTGGGCAGCCATTATAACGGCAGAGGCCAGTCCTGTCCTACTTCAAGGAACCTGGGCCTTTGTGTTCTTTTTTAGACCTCAGGAGACTCTGACACATACTAGCATTTTAAAACCTCTGTTCCAGAGGAAAGCTTTTGAACAGTTTGAGTCCTTGAGAAATTAGCCTCTAATCAGTTCCTAGAAAACTGGGGTCCTGATTTATCTAAAGAATTTAAAACTGCTTCTCCCATTAGATGAACTTCCTGAAGGTACGGGAGCCTTGTCTTTTTATATTTTACTTTATCTTCAGTGCCTGTATTTTTTGGACGCCTATGAATAAATAGACTTACTGATTTCTTGGTTAAAACAGATTTGATCTTTTAATACAGACTGCCTAGGTCTGAAGGCACTAAGAACACTGGAGCCATCTCAGATAATGGTTATAGTTGATCAGAAACTTTGTGTAAGCATTAAAACTCACCAAGAGTGAACTATGGTGCTCTTAGATCAGGTTTCTTTTTTTTTAAGTTTATTTTTTATTAGCATATTCATTGTTACAAATTATACTTATTCTTTATGCCCCTTTCCAATCTCTCTCCTTCCCCCTCCCCCCTCTAATAAACATAGATTTTTTTTTCTCCCTCTGATGTTGGTTTGTTGCCTAGATGATTAGATCAGGTTTCTGAATTCTGTCATCCATTCTTCCCTGGTCATTACCTCTTTGAGTCCATCAGTTTATCTTACCCTGTTTTGTACTTCTAATTTTAGCTGTTTTAGCACTCAGTCTTACTTGAAAGGCCAAATTCATTACTTTGCTTCTGTAGTTAGAAAGGAATCTGTACCTAGCCCTTCTGTTTTCAGCATGGGCCCAATAGGGACAGTATTGGAAGAAATGTCATTTTACTTGCAGTTGGGTACTGAAGAAGTACCTCTCAGCCTGTAAAGTAGTGGTCAGTGTACTCTGCAGTGAGTAGGTTTCTAGTTCAGCTACAGACTACGATATTTGTACTTTTTGAGCTTTGGTTTTCTCATCTGTAAAATGCTGGTTAAGACACAAGATTTTATGTCTTGTCCTTCCCTTAACATCTTGTACTTTCTTTCTTGGCTCCATTTGGCCTTTGGTGCTCAGAAATCTTGTTCTTCTACCTAATGAGTCCTTGCTCTGTCTCTCCAGTGAGTCATCAAGGAGACTCACAGTTCTGATTGCTGGGTGCTCCTCTGAAATAAAGTTGGGTCCTGCTAGAAACCTGCTACTTTTATGTTTGCATATGTTTTCTTACCCTTTTACATTGTATAAGAAAAGAAGAAGAAGAAGATATATGTAGGAGACTTATTTCTGAATTTCCTGTAAGCTGGGTCTCTGCCTCTCTTCTTTTCTCGCCCACCCTTTTCATCTCAGGTCATCCGCAGTGACTGAGAACCTGAAATGCTCAGATCCTCCTGTCAGGCCTACAGCTTGACAGGTGTTTCCTGGATGTTCTTCTTATTATTTAGACTCTGAATACATTTGTCCATTATAACTTTTTTTACCCCATGGTGCTTCAGGACTTTTGTTTTTGTTTTTCTAAATATATTTCAGATATATTACAGAGTATGTATTCTGAGCTAGACCAGGGAGCTCTCCAAAACCTATGATGTTACTTCTGTGGGAAGCTATACTAATTTTGAAATGACTACCTTATAAACAAGTTACTCAAAAAGTTTCGGAAATTGCCTATTTTTATAAATCTGTATTTCATTATTTTGTAATTATTTAATGGCTCTCTAAGCTGGGCGGGGCTATGAAGATTATTTTGGAAGGCTCTTTGGTGTTATTTCTCTTTGTGTGTGTGTGTGTGTGTGTGTGTTTGCACAGGTGTGTGTAAGAGTGAATTATAAAATCTGATGGAAAACAATACTATTTGAATTGCTGCCCTTCCATTTATTTGGAAGCCTTGGGAAGAAGAGTTCTGGGAGTGATAAACAACAAAAAAGTACTATTTGTGTATTCAGAATTTTTTACTAATCTAAGCATGAGTACCTTGTTGTTTTTTCCAACCTGCTTTGAATTTTTCATTTGTCCTTGGGCCTGTGTGTTTTAGGCCAGTAACCATTTACCCCACGTTACTGATGATAATCACCATAGTTGATTTTACTGTCTATTCATCATAGGCTGTAGAGGAGGATGAGTACTGGGTAATTAAAAATTTTAGCAAGGCCTTTGTTAAACTTCTATTTTTGTTACAAATATGCTTCAACAGGAAAAGCTTTCAAAGGATATTGATTACCTTATTGGTAAGGAGAGCCAGGTGAAGAGTCAAATTTCTGAACTAAACTTGTTAATGAAAGAAATGGAGGTAAGTGATAAACTGGTTTGCATAGTTTTTGTTTATTACTTTAGACATTTATCTGTTCATAGGATCCTGAGGGTATTATATGAGCCAGGAACACAATCTCGTGTTAGATCTCACCCCTGCTTTTCTGGTACTAGGGAAACAGATGTAAAGAATAAATTATAATGCTGTGTAATTAGTGCTGTGATAGAAGTAGTAATTAAATGATATTGGAACACAGAGGAAAGAATGACTAACTCTTTATATGGCACTTAATAAGGTCTCAAAAGTGGTAACGTAGGGGAAGTGATAGCTTTCACAATTACCTGTTTTATATGTGTAGAAGGCCAGGTGTATTTAAAATTCCAGGTATTTCTGAGTGTACTCTCCATATGTTCACCAAAAGATACGTATTAGGAAGTTCATGGCTGCATTGTTTGTGATAGTTACAAAGTGGGAACTACCCAAGTGCCCATCAGTAGTGGAATAGAAATAGCAATAAGAATGAATGATCTACAACTTCATGTAACAGTGTAGATCAGTCTTGCAATAATGTTGAAAGGAAGATGTCAGGTACAAAGGATACTGTATGATGACATTTATGAAAAGTAGCAAAAAAGGTGAAACTAGATTAAAGTGCCAAAAAAAGTGAAATTAGAATTCAGAATGGTTGTTGTTGAGGAGGGGAGGATTAGTGCCTGGACTGAGTATAAGTGTGGTTTCTGGGATACTGGTGTATTATTCTTTTATCTAATCTGGATGCTCTGCTGGGTGCTGGTTACATAGGTATGTTTATAAAGATCCATTAATCTTTATAGTTATATGCCATTTTTCTGTTTGTTAATATACTTCAATAAAAAATTAGAAAAAGTAATAGCATTTTGAAATAGTAAAAGGGGATAAGACTGGGTTATTTTAAAATTCCAGATATTCTTCACTGACATTGATGTATATCTGTTTCTTTTCTCCACTTGAAACAAAGAGTCACTACTCCTGATCACTTTGAGTTGTAATTAAATACCGAAATATCCCAGCTAGTTTGAGACTGTTACTTCTTGAAAAAATTTTTTTTTCTAAAATGTAGTCAAATTATTGAGGAATTATGTGAATTAGTACCATATTACCAGCACGGATTGCATTTACTACCGTAAGTCATTTTCCATGTAATTTAAAGGTAGGATTTTCTTTTTTTCATATTTTTTCCTGATTAAATGACAAACTCAGTTTGGTATAATCTCCAACACAAAACAAATTATCACTTAGATAGTAGGTTGCTTCAGGGATTGAATTTTTGGTCACTTTAGGTTTGTCCTTATCGGGTCTTTGAGACATGCTGCCTTTTACTTCTGAAAGAAAGGAGAACCCAGTACTTGTTTTGGGGTTTATCATCAGATAGGTTGAAAATTGAGGAACTCAGGCATCAAGTGGTCATGCAGACACTGATTATTTGGGATCTTGGGAAATTATTGAACTTTTTTGTATATTTGGCCTAAGCAGCATTTGTAGGCTGATTGGTAAGAATCTTCTTCTGAGCTACAGAGTTTGTCTCCATTCTTAACTTTTACTCAGTGATGATGTGACACTATCTTTTTATCTATAATTTTGCTTAGATGGAAAAAATCTTTTGTGTATGTTTAATGATATTTCTAAGTGTAATGTTGTTATATGTCATTAAAATACTATCAAAATATTACTACCCTCTGTTCCCCCCCCTTTTTTTAAAATGTGGCTGTTGGAGTTAGGAAACAGAAAAGGGAATCTTGAAAAATTTTCCTTTCATTGTAAGTGTCGGCCAGAAGCCACTAGAAAATGCACAGTGCACTTCTACCAGCTTTTAAGAATGCTATTGAAGACTTTTTTTTGTTGGCTGCTGGCTGTGAGTCTATTATGATAGGTGCTTATGAGTGCCCTTCTTATTCTTGTTTTCAAAATCAAGTTGAGCTTTGATTTTACAGGAATTCAAAATGTTTAGTGAACACTACAGATAGGATCATTTTATGACGAAGTAGAATAGCTGTGTGTATAGTGATAGTAATGTTTTAGGTAACACTGTGGTATGCATTTTATGTAAATAATCTTTTTAAATCGTTACAAAAACCCTAAATGGTTTCTCTTACCCCAGTTTTCAGAAGAGAAATCTCAGGCATAGATTAATAGGCATAGTTAAGTAATTTGCAGGTCACACAGCTGTCAGGATTTAATTATAATTAAATTATGTTAATTTTTAGAGGAGACTTACAGTCTTAGGTCTTAGTAAAGAATGTTAATGTTTTGAGTTTTGTGACTGTGATTTAACTTTTTAAAAAATTGGAATGGTGTGGGAAGTGTTAAAAAATTTCTTAATTTGAAATGAATTCAAAACTTTAGAAATGTGTTTTCCTGTCTTTGGTTAAACAGTTCATTTCTGCTTCAAGTTACTTTATATGCAAATCAAAGATTATTTTATTATTTAATTGAATAAATTGTCTATTGCTGGACTTTGGAGATGAAAAGCTTAAGGTAGTATAATATTATAAAATTACAAAAAAAGTCTAAATAAAAAGTTGTCAATTGTTCTTTGCTAAGTGTATTTGATGCCAAATTATTGTTCTGATCAGTGTGACAAAAAGTTTTTGCCTTACAATATCTGGGTTTGTTTTGTTGAATTTTGATCATTTTGTCACCATATAGATGAAATACAATTATGTAGAATTTTGTGAAAAGGCATTTGGATTTAACAGATGAGGTGTAATGCTTTGTTTTATGACGGTGTAATGCTGTGTTTTATGACAGTGTAATGGAGAGAGGGCTAAAGAAGAAGCAATTATACATTTTGAAAAGCTCTTTGAAATTCTAGAAGAGCGGAAGTCATCTGTTTTGAAAGCAATTGATGCTTCTAAGAAACTAAGATTAGACAAATTTCAGACTCAAATGGAAGAATATCAGGGACTTCTAGAGAACAATGGGTTGGTGGGATATGCTCAAGAAGTGCTTAAGGAGACGGATCAGTCTTGCTTTGTACAGACAGCAAAACAACTCCACCTCAGGTATCTTCTTTTACTTTTAACTTTAGTCTCTTTAGCAATGTCATTTCAACGTTAGCTCTGAGTGATTAATGCTGCGTTAACGTGAAGTAGTCTTGCTTCATTGTTAACTTGAATGTTGAATGAAGTGTAGGTTTTCTTCTGTTAATCACATTGCAGGTGTTTAGTTCGGTTTGCTTTTTAAATAATCATTCTTATAAAAAAAATGTCTGTCTGCAGAATACAGAAGGCTACAGAATCTTTGAAGAGCTTTAGACCTGCAGCTCAGACTTCTTTTGAAGACTATGTTGTTAATACGTCTAAACAAACGGATCTTCTTGGAGAACTGTCCTTCTTCTCTAGTGGTAAGTCTTAGTGAAGGCAGAACCTTATTCTGTCAGTCTGAATTCACATTGTGTAAAAAAACCCCAGATTCCCTTGAGTTTGACATTCTAAAGCAGCATATAAGTTGCCCAGGAGCATCATAGTATCCTGAAATTGTATCTCATTTATGTTCTATGGTTTATGCACAAAAACTATATTCTGTTGGTTTGTATGTCTTTAAACATTTTATATATGGCATCACATTATATGTATCTCTTTTATAAATTACTTTTTAAAAAAATTAAGTTTGAGATAAATATTTGTTCATAACACGAAATTCTGGTTTAAAGCTCTATTTTAACTATTTATGGTTTTCATAAGAGATCATTTCTCTACTGAGAGACCATTAGTTTCTATATTTTCTCTATAAAAGCAGTGCTGTACTGAACATCTTTGTCAGCGTTTCTTTTTGCACATGTAGTTGATGAGTTTCTCTAGGGCAGAAACCTAGAAATGGAATCTACATGCTAATATTGACTCTAGTACATTGAACTGCTTATGTTGCTGTATTAGTTTTCTACGGCTGCTGAGTTCCACAGACATTGGCTCAAACAAAGAAATTCATTTTCTTACAATTCTGGAGGCTGGAAGTCTGAGATCAAGGTGTTGTTAGATTGGTTGGTAGATGGCTGTCTTCTCCCTGTGTCCTCACATGGTCTTCCCTCTGTGCATGTCTGTGTCCTAATCTCTTCTTCTTCTTTTTTTTTTTTTTTTTTTTTTTTTTTTCCG